CGCAGTTCACTCATCCATCGGCCGCTCTTGTGCATTAGGTCTCCTGAAGAGAGACGCGTCTGTCAGTGACAGGAAATGCAGGTGAATTCAGATTGTTGTAAGACAGGTCAGTTGGCTTTATGACGTCATCACTTCTGCAAACGTAGCCGTTCCCGGTAGGGGAGTAAGCAATGATGCGGATGATGTTTCAAGTCAAACCGAATCACGCACACTGCTACCGTATTATAAACAACAACAAATGGGTTACATGTTCTGTTGGCTATCATCTGCAGGCATGCTAGCAGGTGGCTCACGGTGAATAGTTGCCGCCCTGTGTGACGCTAACTTCACACAGTATGACTGTACATTTCGTCCTTTTTGCCATGACTGCACCGTAACACCGTGCTGCGGAGATTTTTCACAGGTCAACGATTTGCCATCCATTTCTCAGTTGTTTGCAACAAAGCAATGGAGGTAAATTCATTTCTCAACGTAATTAGAGGCTAAGACAAATTTTGCTTTTTCGAACTCGATTTTGGTGTTCGAAACTGATTCTTGGTCGCTGTGTCGCCACGCCCTCGAGCGAGAAACAGAACCTATCCAATTTTTACACGCCATAAAAAACACACATGACCACTCTGGACGGAAAAGCAATTAGTTTCAGTCGATGGCAGTAAGAATGGCTTACCATTCTGGAACGGTAAAATTTCCACATCGAGTGTCTTGCGTTTTAGCATCCTAAGTTTCCTTCTTTCTAAAGTTGTGTCTAGGCGCAATTTGCATCTGACTCTTGTTTAGGCTCCTATTCACCTCGCTAGTCTTATGAACAGGTTTCAAGTATAAGACAGGTGTTCAATAATCCATGTGAATTGAACGAGTAGAGCTTTAAATCAGTCTGATAAGCATAATGAAGAAAATGTACGGTTTGTACCGAAAATAACTGACGATAGAGCTCTAGGCTATGATGTTTCGTTTTCTACTTAATTAGCACTGAATGCCTCTAAGCCACAGTTCTTCTTAATGCCAAAACGAAATTAAACTATCCCTATTCATCTCGGTGAAACCAACGTTCACTTATTCACTGTGTGGCAATCGAACAGACGTCTGAAGGTGAGGATCGAGTTTCTTGAATGGAAGATTTGAGGCACTTCGAATGAAAACTGCAACTTAATCCTCTGTTAGCCAGGATTAGGATTACCTCCTAGCCTTTCGAGTCATGGAGGCAGCCGTATCAAACAGTGTCTCCAATGTGCCAATTGTTTTGCCAGCGTTTGTACTTGTGCAGAAGAATTTCTGAGACTTAAGCAAAGTCCTTCGAGGCACTTACCCCAGATCGTTATTGGCCGGCCGGCTGAGCAGGCAGTAACTAGTTCGTTTGTTTTTTCTGGAAGCATTCGGAAAACGTGCAGAAATCATCGAAGCTGTGACTTTTCGATCTGGATATGCGGTTGTTGCACACCTAGGCTTTCTCAGATGTTTGAGTTTGGACTTTGCTTTCCACAAGTGCAAAACTAAGTGTGCCTGGAACCATGACCTTTACCTTTACAACGAAGAATCATCTTAAGCACCACCTTTGAAAAGCAAAAATGGCATTACTCCTTGAGATAATTGAATATGTTCCGATCTGAAAAGCTGTCATTGTGTTTAAAACGAATGTCTTAGGTCATCGTGCGCACAGACCATAAATACGGAGTCTATTCATCAAAGAGGAACCGCCCAATGCCGCATGAAATGGTGCTGTTTGGAAATCACGAATGGAAGAAGAAAGAAAACTGAATTCGCACGAGCAAAAAACCAACCGGAGTCCGCCATGTCATTGCAAGAGCTAAGACGTCGCAAGGAAGTGAGCCTGGCAGGAGATGTTACAGGAAGAACGAACCATCGTAGCAAAGAAGACATTAGACTTGGTTCAGAAAGACAGTAAATGGCCCATGGGAAGACCTCCACGTGAATAGTAAGGCGAAATGAAGAAATCTATTGGAAAAATCTGGATAAGAATCGCACATGATCCAATTCTGTGGCACTCTCCTGGTCTATGTTATGGATCATTCAGTCGTAGCCGGACTAAGGCTGTGGGATAATGATTTGTTCATCCGTGCCTCCTGCTCGAGGTCAGGGCTTGTACTACCATTTTCTCGAATCAGACTTCATTCTTTTTCATAACCTGACCAAAGTACCAAAATGTCTTGCTTGGTTTTTTGAGGGTATCGTTGTGCGTCAGGCTAATTTAAGATTTAGTCACTGATTCTCAGATTCATCGAAGAGACTCAGAACAGTTGTGTGTCATATGTTACTTTATGTAATTAGGCGGTAGATGTGTTTCAGTCGGTAGACCTGCGCTGTTCAGCAATAGAACGTCGAACGTCAGATCCGAGAGGTCCCGTGTTCGAGCT